GAGCACCGAGCCAGGACGAAAAGGATCCGAAAGTTGGAGAACGAGGAAGGTAAAAAGAAAAGGAAACGCGAGACGATGTCTTTTAAAAGCATTTATCCAAGAGTACAAACTTTGTACAGAATAGGAATGATGTGGATAAAGAATTACGATACAAAAAATAATTAACAATTGGCCAACGATTCAGAAATTAATTAATTGATTCCGTTCTAAGGGAAACGTATCAATGTATGGTCAGACGTTAGATTTTCAGTAAGGAATTTTTTTCTCAAAAGTGCGTAGGATTTCGAGCATATGTGTAATAACCAAAAATTATTGTAATTGATCCCTGCAACCAAAAATATTTTTTTTAGAACGATTTGAAATGCTTTAATTTTGTCGAAAAGTTTATCCCCTTGTTGAATTTTTTTCTCGAAAATGGTTAGGATTTCGAGGGTATGTCTATTCACCAAAAATGACTGTAATTGATCCCTGCAATTAAAAATAATTTTTTTAGAACGATTTGAAATGCTTTAATTTTATCGAAAAGTTTGTCCCCTTGTCGAATTTTTTTCTCGAAAATGGTTAGGATTTCGAGGGTATGTCTATTCACCAAGAATGATTGCAATTGATCCCTGCAATTAAAAATAATTTTTTTAGAACGATTTGAAATGCTCTAATTTTGTCGAAAAGTTTATCCCTTTATTGAATTTTTTTCTCGAAAATGGTTAGGATTTCGAGGGTATGTCTATTCACCAAGAATGATTGTAATCGACCCCCGCAGCCAAAAATATTTTTTTTAGAACGATTTGAAGAAATTTTTTTCGCCGAAAAATTTCTCCAGAATATGGATAAAGATTTACGATGCAAAAGAGAAGTAACAATTGACCAGCGATTTAAAAACTACATTCCTACGATAGTTTTGGAAATGTCGTGTTCGCAAAAGTTCCACGAGAGAATTGCAGGACATTGATTCCGTTCAAAGGGGACGAAAGAGATCTTGTCAGGAGTTAGCGGGGAGAGATTTACGAACGGGGCGCGAAACGGGACGCCTGGGCTGTGTGAAGTGGACGCCGGGAATAAAATTGAATCCGGTAGCTCGGGAAGAGAGGCAAACAACGGCGATTCGTAATTAAAACGGACGAAGGAACACAGAGTGGTGGGCGAAGATGGAAACGGCAAGGTAAATAAAGGGCCAACGCGGCGTTTCGAAGCATAATTATGCAGTCGGCCTGTGAAAGCGCGCGAGAAAAGGGAATGTAAAATTATTTAATAACACGAAACGTCCGTGGGAAAAGCAACTTTGCAAAAGGGAAAACAGTGGAGCCGTGGGAAAGCGTGGAATTGCGTGGACGCGGCAGTTTGCGCGAGGCGTGGGAGATACTCTGAAACAAAGGCGCGGACACGTGCGACGAAAAGTGGAACACGCATCAAGTTGCGAACCAGGACTGCTGAGGACAGAAAACTACACGATAATTGACCTTGATACTCGATACTGCTTTGTAGATTGAACATTTCTGTCCCTTTCGACTTGGGGAATCCCTATTGGTACCAGTGTACTAATGTACTTATGTACCATAATTTCCAGAACATAGTCGAGTTCTTAGATAGGTCTGGGATGAATAGCACAAAATTTGATTTGTGACAGAGCTACTGGGGATATCCAATAAAAAATTTATTTAGAAACCATGCGGTTATAGAGATTTTTCGCGTTACCAAAACATCCTGATGGAATTACGGTGAGGAAACAAGCTCGTATCGAACCGGTTATCTGTCTTCGCGCACGAAAAAACGCATCCGAATCGATAGGGGCGGGAAAGTACGTGCTTAAATTATAAAGGAACCAGAGGAATGCAATGCTCAATTTCTTCTTACGAATGCCACGTCCCGAGTCAATTCCATTTCGGCGGAAAACTCGAAAGCAAGCAGAAGCAGCCGATTCGTTGGGGTGCACCGAGGTACATGATTCCCCAAAAGAGGTCGAAGACGTACACGTGGGATCGATAAGGGAAATATTAGGGAGGAAACGGCGAAACCACAAAAGATGCAGAAAGTCTCCATTACCGGGGAGCTCAAAGGGAACATTGCAGCCTCGGAGCCTCAATCTTGGCGGGACGAATTGGTTCTCTCTCCCTCTCCGACGTTCCCCGGCATCCAAAGATACGTTCGAGATATTTGATCGTGGGAAAACCACGGTAGGGGGAGAACGAAGCAACGCTAAACCATGTTCTCTTTGTAAACTGAAAGCTTCCACGCGGCGCGGTAGCTTATTCAAGGCAATTATTCGATACCTTCGACCCTTCCTACCCGAAAGTTTCATTAACCAGATCTTTGCAGCAGCAATTGGAACATCGCTGCGCCAGGCTCGATACAGTTCTCGTTCGAAACGAGGATCTCCTCTCAATGTTACTTACAAACACGTAGAGGCAATTTGCATTCTTCTCCCTTTATGAGAAAATTGTTTCCCCGGCGAAGAATGAACGCTATATTAGGTCCGATGGTATGTAAAGTGATTTCCGGAAACTGTGACAGGCTGTAACCTTTTTCTGAGCGGCGGTACAGAAAATTTATACATGGAAAAGTTGAATCCCCCATTTTGTCTCTGCGTTTGTTCTTTTTAATTAAATTAATTAAACGTTATGAAAGCATACGCCAATAAAGCGAAAGTTTATATGGGCGTGAGGTACAGTTACATCAATGAAATAAACTTAAACAAATAAATTAAATAATCCCATTTCTGATACAAAGTAGTATGGCTCATAATTGATCCAACTTCACGAGTGATCAATTATAAACACAGTTCGAAGTACATAATGGTAAGGATGACACAAAACTGAAACAAATAAAGTAGATAACATTGCTTGTTAAAGATACTATATCTGTAATATGTTATGTTAATTTTATTATCAAAATTTTAAAAACAAAATTTACATCGTATTCGTTTTTTTCTACCAGTGCTGCCAGATGAAGTTAAAGGTGCGTCTTTTGTTATTATATTTTATATTTCGTTCGATATCAACGGCTCTCTCCTTTCTCGGTATATTTTTTTTTCCTTTCTCTAACAAAATGTATGACATCACCGAAAACTTACATAATTCTCCTATGAATATTCTCTCGTGCAAAATATTTTCCTTCTACTCTAAATTCATTCCTCTCCGTACATTTCATCGTATTTAATTTTATTCTAACGTCCAAGTTATACTTCTGTCTTTCAATTAAACTTGCACTGCTTGTTTTGCTTTATTTGTTTGAGCATTGCTGTATGCATCGTTGCAGTTCGATTCTAGCGACTCGTAATTATTGTGATCGTGTTTTTTCTTCTTCGAAAATGCCTGCGTTTCCCTCTCGATTGCTTGGTCATCACTCTCGTATTTATAAGTCACAATTGAACCCTCAAATCACACTATTAATCAAAGTATTGAATTTTATAAGTCACTTGATACTATTTAAATTCTAAGTGAAAATATTTTAGAAAGTACTGCGAACCACAGTAATCTACAGTCAAATTACGATAGAATATTTTCGTTTAAATTGCAAGCCCCACTTTCAGACAATTAAATTTTTAAAAACGATTTTTTCAAAACTTCTAGACTAAAATAGCCCCTTAAAAAAGAAACGACCGTAAGATATCCTGTTAAAAACCTTGTCAACGAAACACTACGACGCCGTCGAGATACCGCGAACGTTCAATTTTCCTAGGCAAACTAACGTCCACGGGCACCAAAATGGCGTTCTGGTCCCTCGACGATCGTTCGTTTAGATTTAACGAAGGGTTTCGAAGGATCAGTCCCTTTTCCCACGGTCAAGTAGAGCGACGAAAGGACCTAGTGTAATCTCGAAACCGGCGGACAAGCACATATCGTGCCTTGTTCGTCTCGCTCTTTCCTCTCTGCAATATCCCAGTGCCGCCCGGAAAAGCCTTTCTCCTGTTTGAAATACGAGTGACGTTCCGCGTCGTTAAAATGCCATCAATACTTCAGTCGAGCCAGACTTTGTGGACGTCGGTCGTTTCTTCAAAAGAGTACAAACAAAAATTATATTCGGACTATCGATAAATTCAGATATCTTGTCGCGAGGCTCGACGATTCTGAAATAATGGTGGAAATATACATCGTTAATATATTTAATATACAGGGTGTTCGGCCATCCCTGGAAAAAGATTTGAATGGGAGATTCTAGAGATCAAAATAAAACGAAAATTAAGAATAACAATTCGATTATTGAGACTTCGTTAAAAAGTTATTAACGTTTAAAATTCCACCGCCATTTTTCTGGGGCTCTAGAGCCTCCATTAATACGCATTGTTTGCATTTTTAATCATTAAGATCCTCCAATCCGTTCAGAAGTTATGATGTTTTAAACATACGCATGAAATTTCAGTGAAACATATCAATGTATGGTCAGACATTAGATTTTCAGTAAGGAATTTTTTTCTCGAAAGTGCGTAGGATTTCGGGGTTATGTGTAATGACCAAAAGTTATTGTAATCGACCCCTGCAACTGAAAATAATTTTTTTAGAACGATTTGAAATGCTTTGATTTTGTCGAAAAGTTTATCCCCTTATCGAATTTTTTTCTCAAAAGTGCGTAGGATTTCGAGGGTATGTGTAACGACTAAAAGTTATTGTAATTGATCCCTGCAACTAAAAATAATTTTTTTAGAACGATTTGAAATGCTTTAATTTTGTCGAAAAGTTTATCCCCTTATCGAATTTTTTTCTCGAAACTGGTTAGGAATTCGAGGGTATGTCTATTCACCAAAAATGACTGTAATTGACCCCCGGAACCAAAAATAATTTTTTTAGAACGATTTGAAAAAATTTGTGAGATTGTGAAAAATCGAGAAATCCCACCTGTTTGGCTGTTTGGTCCTACAAGTTTTATATTAATATTACCCGTAAATAATTAGTCTATCATAACTTTTACCCGCGAACAATCCTTGAGGGATAGTGTGTATAAGTTAGAGTATATTTTTTCAAGTTCAATTCGAGGGAGTCCCTCTGACGGAAGTATTTTATTTGCAGAAATCGGGCTGCATTCACGGCGAGGACCTGCCATACTTTTTCGGAGCACCCATTGTGGGTGGTTTGTCCCATTGGCCGAGGAATTACACCAGAGCCGAGATAGCCCTCTCCGAGAGCGTGATAGTCTACCTGACGAACTTTGCACGCACGGGGTGAGTCGTCAACTTAATGGCGTGAAACCCGGAAACACCGATAAAACATTAACGATCGTGTGCGTCCTTTGTTCACCGACAGGAATCCGAACGAGGGCACGCCGGACATCGGACCGATGAGACCGGAACGAACGAAGTTCAAGAACATCGATTGGGCCGCTTACGAGGCGGTGCACAAGAACTACCTGAGCATAGGTAAGTTGCAATTTGATCAGGTTCTCCCAAGATTTTTAATATTTTGTGAGGTAAGAATTATTTAACCTATCTTTCTTACTTTCAAAATATTGATGAAATTGCAATCAGAATTCTCTAACACAAAATTTTCTTCGAGAATTGGAAATGGAGGATTCTCGAACGCGGTCGCTAGTGGTAGAGAAAAACCATGAAGTTGGAATTAGTTAAAGGGAAAGCAAGGCAATTACGACTCCTAAGATTCTCGAAGTTGCGATCTTGTACGTTCGTTAAATTCCTCCGCCGATACGGAACTAATGGGAAGCAGTAATGGCGGAATAATACGCAGCCGTTCCAAGTATAATAGAAATTTTCAACGAACACGTCTCGAAACTTTTCCGCGGACCAATGGCAATTAATTCTAAAATATATTGTATTTCGAGTAAAAGTCTTTGCTGATAAAGTAAAACGTTCGTGACATTGTACAAAGGACTCGTTAAGAGTGCGCCGGCTACTCCATACGGAAGTTAAGCTGGAAGGTTTCAAGTTGGGCGTTACGGAGCTTTTGAACTTTGACGTTGATGAAAAACTCACTTAACCCCGAAATCGAACATGCTCGTCGAAATATTGAGCGATCATTTAACCATGGTAATCGTTTCTATTACGGGGATTTCCTCGTGACAAAGAAAACTTTCGAGGCTGGTAAATGCATGTGTCACGCCAAATTGAACGTTTAGAAGGCGTTTCGTCTAAAAAAATTTTAGTTTCCTTAACACAAACACGATCCGAATAAATTTTAGAAATTCACGTTGGTCAGACAATGCGAAAACTCCCTGCAATTGCGAACACAAATTCAAAATTCTCTAACAGAGTTTTTGATAGTTTCATACAACTTTGAACAACAGTCAACAGTGTATATAATATTACAGTTTTCAGATTCAGAGTTACAGATGCAGTTTCCATTGTCTTAGAACAGTATTAGTGTTTTATTAATAATTGAGGCGCTGTTAGAAGCTGCAAGGCTTCCTCTTTGAAATGGCTTTTTGTTTTTGTCGATCCGTCTTCCCGTTTTGGAGATATCGTAATTTATTATTAAAAAGAAAGGCTGACCGTTTCACCGGTCATGGTAGGAATGGCTTAGGTTTGGTATTAAAACGTTGCTCATTTTTCGAGTCTTGGCACGAAGAACGAAGAAACTGTTAAACGAAAAGTTGAAAATTCGAAACGGAACGTAGGAGAAAACTCGACCTCTGGCCCGTTTCCCGCCCGTAGAAGCCACTCGTTTCCCTCGCGGGATTCGCGCAGCGTTTTGAACCGGAAACGAGAATTATTTAATCCGATTACGTCCCAAAGTGGGTATAATGAATCTAGTCCCCGGGCGCTCGCACGCACTTCGCACGTGTAACTAAGAGGATCAGCGAAGATTTATTTGCATAATTCTCGTTCCCGAGGTGAAATGAGAGTGGCAGTTCGTCAGGAACAAACCCCGGAGTCCCGCAGGAGTTCACTTCTGCCGCGAGACCCGCGTAGCTCTTCAAATTGCGTCGCGACTTTGAGATGAAAAGCCAACGGCGCCGCGTCACCTGCGTCCCCCTTCAAACCTTCGGCTCTCAGAGTTCTGCGACTCCATTTACGCCGTTAAAATATACAAGAAGATGCGTCCAAAGAGAGATATTCGGATATTGAAAATACGAAATCCTAGGTCCCATACTTTTAATAGAAGACACTAGGCTTTAGCTTATCGTAGGAAAATGTCTCCTTCGTATTTCCCTGTACGTTTATTCCCTTTTACTATCACGTTGTTCTTCTTTTCAACTCTATTCTCCGAGCTCCTCAGCTTTTTCTAGTTAGTCGATCCTATTGTTTAATAGTTGTTTTTCATCCTTTCATTCTCTCCTTGATGCAGGCTAGATCATTTATTATCGCTTTCATCTCTTTATTTTCCTGCCCCGTTTCTTTCAGCTCCCCTTTTATATCTTTCATTTCTACCGCTACACTTTCTATTTTAGTAATTAGTCTGTTGTTGTCGCCAAGATCCCACTTGATTATCTTTCTCTGGCCCTGGAGACCATTGAGCAACGATTGATTTTTATCTACTAAAGCTACCTTTCTCGGATGAATGTTATTTTCGTTCCCATTTATTTTTATATTACTTTTGGTCAACCTGATACCTCAGTTTCACGCTTGAGCAATCTCTGACTAAAATAGGAGCATTCAAATTTAAAAAAAATAAAATATATTCTCGTTAACGTCCGATATATCAACAACCCCAAGAAATTTATCGAGACATTCGATCCTAAACTTGTTTGTTGCAAAATCGCAAATAAACGTCATGCATCTCGCGGCTGGTTCGTCGTCGCTGAGAGGCGATTCCTCTTAGGAGAATCGCAACGTTTCGTTGCAGACAACGCCGCGCTTAACGCGACAAGGAACGTCAGCGAAGGGACTCGTCAGGGCGAGCGGAATAACGTTCGCCGCGCTGAAAGTTCGCGTCTCGCTCGAGTTCAGTGCGGCTCAAACTATACCGCGCGGGGCGGTCGAGAGTAGAAAAGTCCCAGCAAAGCCAGCCCCGAGGGTTGACGGCGCCCTCCCGCCCAACGGCTCCGCAGTTTCGAACTTTGAGACGCACTGACTAACGAACCCGCCTTCTGTATGAGATTACCGCGCGACAATAATTAATTACTCCGCCGTTAATACGAAAAGACTCCGGCGGAAAGGTGGCCATTCAAGGCTGCGACGCGTGCAGCCGCGTTCCCGCTGAAAGCCAGCTCTTTCTTTCGCCTGCTTCCTCCATTGACCCCGCTGAGAAGCCATCCGTGTTTCCAGATCTCAAGCCAAAGCTGAAGACCCACTACAGGGCGCACAGGCTCTCGTTTTGGCTCAACCTCGTCCCCGACCTCCACAAGCCTGGCTCGGACGAGGTTCCCAGGTCCCATCATCTTCTGGACACTGAACAGGTACGTTGTTCATTCGATATCATAGATAGTAAATAATTCTTGATTATGAGAAGTAACTGGGTTAACGTGTTCACAAGTATTAGGATCTTTGTTAGAATAGACTGGAACAATATCTCTTCGTTTCTCGTAATGCTCCTTTGACGATATAAAAAAAATTGTATTGCATTCTAAACTCTATTTTGAAATTTAATTTTAATAACTCTGGTCAACAATAAATTTCAGACTGCATGAATGCATAAATTTATATGCGCTGAGAAACTTATTTTACTGTTTGAACTAAAAATTGAAAGAAAGGTGACAATGATAGTTTAGGGTTCACAGTATAAAAAAGTAGTATATTTCTCCACATTTCTCTACAACGAGAATCTTTGATTAAACACCGCTGTACAGTCTCGACTTAGGTTGACTAACGGTTGAATTTGTTTGCTCACAGGTGCCGCCAAGGTTCATCCAAAGGATACCAACGACAACCAGGATGACAACAGCGGAGACAACCCTCGCGGAGAAGCCAATGAACGTGTCCACGGCTATACCCAGCGAACTGGCGTTCGAGGACTCGACTGCACAGCCGGAGGACGGGTTCGCGGCCTATTCCACAGCCCTGAGCGTGACGATAGCGATCGGTTGCAGCCTGTTGATCCTGAACGTGCTGATATTCGCGGGCGTCTACTATCAGAGGGACAAGAGCACGCAGCACAACTGTTCGAAGAAACGTCAGGAGAACGGACAAATGCCTAACAATATCTGCGGTGACCTGGAGACGAAGACCGCGGAGAGACATCACATCCAGCACATCCCACCGCCGGAGTTCGCCGATCTGCAGAACAACAGCTGTCACGTGCCGATGCCACCGCCCCCGCCAAAGAATACCAAGCCTGGAAAACCGGGACAGAACCTGATCATCAGCCCCAATCAGCTTCAGCAGGAGAGTATGGCGATGACTGGCACGGGGACTCTGAAGAAGGGGCACAATCATCAGCAACAGGTCATGGACGAGCTAAGAGTCTGACTCCACGAGTACTTTGCAGGCGAAGCTGAACAGTTGTGGATGATTCACAGCCTGGACGAAAAATCGGGCAAGGTGTCCCTTGAATTTCTGAACGAATTGTTCTGCTGGCTGTTGGTGATGTTCGATAAATCAATCGGAGAAGACGGTTTGAAGTAGATCGGGGGTGCGTTGGAGCGGTCGATCTAAAGCTGTCGCGAAGGGAAGATTACCGCGTTGGGAGGGGCGACGAACGAAACCTTAAAAATTGAGAAAGTTGTTCAAGTTTGTTAAAATCTCGGCTAAAAAGTAACGATTTATCGAATTACGTTTCTTCCGCAAATGTTGTCGACGCGTCTTCGAACGTCTATCCTAGGATAGTGTCATCTTAATTAGAATCGTGCTCTCGATGGCATAAAAAATCGTGTACACCCTTGGCGATTCTCGACGATCCCCGGTAAAGATCCTTGAAAGTCCTCAGGAATGTACGATCGATTGCAACGAACGTCACCCTCCGTCGATCGATCCGAATCCGTTCGTCGCGCAGAACGTTCAAGAAGCCAAAGTGATGACCAGTGTCTCGGGCATTGCAATCGTTTTCTACTTTAGAACAAACATCAATGATGCGACCAACTGCCGAAAAATCGCGTGACTCTCGATATGTAATAGCGAGATGTAAATAGAAATCTCGATCCTTTGGGAAACGCAGGGCTTGTTTCCCAACGATCCCTGTTCGAGACTGCACCTTTTTTGTAAACCCTCATGGCCCTACGAATTATCCCCTATTTTGCGTTTGAGTTGAGTCTAAGCTGATCCTAAATAAGTTGGGGGCGAGACTGTTGAGGGTTACTGGGTTCGTAGACGGCGGCCATTTCGATATCAGAGAGAAACGATCCGTGTATTGTAAGGAGAACAAAAGATCTATCCCGGGTTAAAAAGAACGTGCCACCGCAAAGCGGAACAACGAAAATGGCTGACCTACTGTTCGAGATCTCTTCCACGATAGATCTTTCTTTTTCTTTGCGCTGCTGACCAAATAGTTCGTACACGGTTCGACTTCCGGTCCAGTAACCAAGACCCCCAAGAAACAAAGTATACTTTCTTCGCCGATGACGCTTTCAGCGGTCTTGAATAGTTTCATTTTCGTACCGATTGGTAAGATTCTGCTGGGCCCCTCGTGGGAAGTGAACAGCCATTTTGAGTCTGTTCGAAGTTCCAATCGCTGGAAGTGACGTCAATCGCCTAAACTGCTCAATGAAAACACGGAAGGGACGAATAAACGTAACGAAATCGCGCGGAGAATGGCAAATCCGCGATCTCGGATCCGATACCTCCGCGAAGAGGTTCATTTTTTTACCGAGAATGGGGAGAGAGGATCGGGATCAGCGCACGTGACGTTTTACAGTTCAAACTAAACAACAGCATACTGCCATAGAATCTGGAGAGACATTTAACTGACAGGACGAGTAAAGTATTTGCTGCCACGGGAGCGAGAAACGAAAGTGAAACCGAATGAACCCGTTGTTTTTTTTTGTATGATTATTCTTCTTTTTTTTTTTTTTTTTGTCGAGTGGTATTATTGGGGATGTGTGAACGAGGCACGGACTCTTTGACCGAGAGAGCGAGTTTAGACTGTAAATAATGAATAATTAAATTTAGTGGTTCGTCGAGTCGCTGATATTGTTGTGCCGAATGAAAATAACGGGAAATACGATTGTAACTGTACGTTAAGTAATGAAATGGCGTGTGTGACAGCGTAGAAGCACTGGACGTAATTTTAAATTTGTATATAATTGACATTACAATAAACTATGTAAACAATTACTATCAGCCACGGCGTTTACTGGAGGCTTTCGTTTACTAACTCTCGGACACTTGGATATTCAGACTTTACTCTCGATAGACTTTCCAAATTTTTACAGTCGGATCTTAATACAGTAGCAATTGTTTAAAATAGCAAATAGTTGCTTTTAGTGGGTAGAGTCTTCTTTAATTTTTGTCCCGGTTTACATCATTAATATTACTCGTTTTCAAATGAATTATTCCTTTCATTTTTTTTTTAAAGAGGGAAATATTAAAAAAAATTAAACACTTATTTTTATTAATATATTGATCATTGGAATTTAATAAGCGAAGTAGTATATTTTTCTTGTATCGTTTCAACCTCTTCAGGGACCAATTGCTTTATATAAAATAAAATAAAATACCAATTGATATTGACCCCAGATATCTATTAATCATCTTCCAAAATGTTTGGATGCTATTGTTTTAAAATATTTTAATTTTCTGAAGCGTTTTAAAGTTTCCAGGCCGGCCTTATTTTCAAACCGAGTTAATAATAATATCTCGCTAAGTTTCGTAAGAATTCTTTTACGTATTTAGTCATTATCTTCGGTAAGGTATTCTTCTAAAATTTAATTCAGTTTTCCTCGTTGATTTCGATCTCCTTAAAAGCTAATTTTGTCTGCCTCTTGTTTCCATGCTTTTAAGATTTGCCATGAAATTCTTCCACTTTGCAATTTCTAAGAGACGTTATTTATTTTACTATCGCGATATTATCGAGTTAAAAGAAAATGCTTCCCTGTGCAGATAAGAGGTTTATGAAAATCTTGATTCAACGAAATGGGGTAGACGTTGAGAGTTTGTCAAAGGATCTGGGTAAGTAGGTTATAACAGCAATCTTCTATTTCATCCTGTTAAATTACTAATCTCCTATAAATTGCTTTTCCGAAGATTAACTATAGTAATCTAGATTAGGGGTTCTTAACCTATTTACGCGTACCACAAAAATTAATATTCCTCGGCATCACTCATTAATACATATTTGTAATAAGAGAAGACTAACGATACTTAGAAAGAATCTTTGAACCGTTCAGAAAATAGTTTAAATAAAATATCAGTTCTGGTGTTTACGTTTCTCTTTTTCCCCCATTAGAAGAGATTACGTAATATAGAATTATGCAATATTTCTCGTCGTTCCTTGTAACTTAGTTTTTTTATTGCCAATATTTTTTAAACTTACCCGATTGTTCGCCCCACTCAACCTACTACCATTGTTCACCGTGGAAAAAGTTCCAAACGAAAAGTCTCGGACTGATTATATCCCCGTTTCGATTCAAATCGCGGTCGAAACGAAAAGGAAAAGGAAAAACAAAGTTAAAACGATCGTGTTCGCGGAACTTCTCGTTACCTATTAATTTCGGAGACTTCAATGCTCCATTTTGACGTTGAATTTTTAAAGCAAAATTTCAGCTGCTCTCCAAGCAAATTTAATTCGAACAAAACTGACGAATTAGAACCAAAATGTTAGATTATTTTAATAGAAAAAAAATTTGAAAAGAAGATCCAAACCCTGTCCGTAATTTCAACTCACTTTCGTCTTCGACCCTTCGTATTGCGGTTCGAACAAAATTAATTGGCCGTCGGAGGTCACTTTTTCTCCGTCGCGAGAGACAGGAAACGCCATTGAAAAGAGAAAGCGATAACCTTCGACGAGCAATAAATTTCGACCTAACTCCTGAAAGAACAAGGACTGTGGTTTTTTTTTTTTATTTTCAATTATATTTCTGCAAGATCTCGTTCGATGACGTTAAACAAAAGCGTACATTATTTCCTATTTTATATAATGTATCGGAAACTTAAAGCCTTGATGTTTAACCCTTCGAGTCTCGAGTCCTTCAAGCAACGAGACTAGATTACGCAAGAGGGTGTTCGATAAACGACGATAATCGTTAGATTGAACGTATAAAAAGTATCACGAATTTCAATCTTCTGTTTATTCGTCAAGGTACATTCAAAGTATCGGGGTATGTTGATATTAATTTTTCAAAGAAGGGACAACGCGACCGTATTTTTAAATTATTGGATGTCGAGCAGCGTCGAGGCTCCAAGGGTTAACCTTACAATTAATGAATATCGCACCCTACTGCTACGTTAAGTTTGACAATTTAATTGCAAAGAGACGATACAGCGAATACCTCTATTCAACTAAGAAACATTGGCTACAATAACTTCGTCGCGAAACGCGGCCGCCTTGCAAATTACATTCGCAAGAATTTCGTTTCAAAATGCTACAAATCATCGGTCGCTATCGTACTATTAATCTCCATCAACCCCTTCGATGCGAGGAACGGCCGTAGAAAATAACCGAATATTCAATAGAACAACGACCTATCTAGAACAATGGAACAAAAATCTACTTATCGAGATATCTTATCACAATGACTACCCAGCCAATTTTATAAAAATTTTTCCAACGGTCTACCCACCAGAATTTACCACCGTTCACTTCGCTCTATCATTCATAATACGCACCTACGACAAATTACTTCGAACAGAGTCACTTAATCCCTTGACGCATGGAACATTTATGGCGAATACGAATTATTAAACTTAACAACAAATGGCGGTACAGTGTTACTAGATTTAGTATACTATTCCTTGACAAAACTGTTCAAAACTATTCACTGAAATGATACATTAATGCATCAAGGGGTTAAATTTACACTCGATGTAAGGCACACCAGTAGTGGGCAGTTTTTGAAAAAAACGTAACAACTATCATTAATAATATTTCTGAGGATGCACTACTAGCAAAAAGTGCAAATAGAAACCTATTTAACATACCCAGTTACTTTTATTATTATTTAACCCTCTATCCTTAGAATTAAAAACTTCGTTTCCCCAAGTATCTATTACTACAACAGAAAGTCTCGAATACTACAATTTTTATTATTCTACCGACTACTGAAACAAATTTTAGATTCAAGAAAAACAGAGGAATATTCTTTTTTAATGAGATTACTGCCTAGCCCAGTGATTTGCGATCTAATACAAAATAGAGGAAGCGTACAAACTTTCGAGAGTAAAAATGTCGTGTCCACTGGTGGTGCCTTAGTGTTTAAACGTAATCTTAGCTAGAGACTCTACCGACGTCTCGATTTCTCTCGGATCGTCGTCGTATCGAAGGGGTTAAGTCGCAACAAAATATATCAATCCCACTGCGCCCCGAAAAGCAAGCACCGTGGATCACTGAACGATCGACGCGTCGATCATTCCGACTAGATCGGGCGTACAGTTCGGTTCGTTTGGTTCGCCGCCACGCGGAGGAGACAGCCCCCAGCAAACCTCTCCCCAGCTGCAACCGGAAGTGCGTCACTGGCTGTGCGAAAAGTGACGCGTCCCCTTTAGGCGTGAGTCTTACAATAGGCGAAGATTAAACATTAGCGATTTACCCTCGATATGGAAAGTCGTAAAAGGTCCTATCCTATGTCGAGCTACGAGCGCGTTTCCGGCCGAGGAGTCTGCAAGTCGGCGAGCGTCGTCTCCTCTGCTCGCGAGGCCGAAACAAAGAAAAATACACGCGCGGAACTCTCAGCACGTTCGCAGCCGTCGACGTAATATTACGTCGTTCGTGTAACTCATAGCTGGTTGCCATTTTCGTACGGCTAGTCATCGTTCGCGTAATATTACGTCATTATTAAATCTACAGATAGTTTACGCTGACGTAATATTGCGTCGTCTCGTAATCTACAACTGATTGCCGCTGTCACTGTCACAGTGAACGTTCGATATACGCTCGAACCGATCTACAACATAAATGCACCGAGCTCTTTTCTACGTTCGACTCGAGCTTGTTTCTACAATTAGAATCGATCTACTCCGTAAACGCCTGGCTTGGGGTCCCAATTTTCGAGCATATATTCAACTTTTACTGTACTTTTCATTTATAACTGGTTACCGGTGACGTAATATTCCGTCATTTTTTAATATACAGATTATTGCCGTTGACGTAATATTACAGTAATGCGCAGTTAAATTCAATTTTATTTTAGGAGTTTGCTCAAGCTCGAGATGAAACGTTCAATTTCGAAAATATAAGTTACTGTAATTTCCATCTTACCTTCGTAAAAGTGATAACAATGGATTGGTAAAGTTCTCCCGTTAAAAATAAGTCCAAACACGAGGCGAATTGGTAAAATTTTTCTGTAATCAATCCAAATATGTCGTGTTTGGACTTATTTTTATCTGGAAAACTTCATCGATCCATCGGTAGCATTTTTATTGAGGTAAGATGAAAATTACAGAAATTTATATTTTTAAAATTAGATGTTCTGCCTACTATAACATGTATATACTGCCATTGTCGAGGCTTAGGAACCTGGGTCGTGATTTAGGTGAATTCTATTGTAATTTAACCGTGCATTACTGTATATCTTTTTATACATGTACAGCTACTCCTTCTAATGTAATATTACGTCATTGTGAAATATATAACTGGTTGACGTCGACATAATCTTACATCGTTTTATATATATAGAGGCAGATGACTTTATAATTTGTATTTACGATCACAACAGCAATCTAACAATATACTGATTTCAAGTGAATCAAAATGAGCGTTCGATGAAAGTCGATAATCAAATAAATCTTTTTACGAATCCTTTGGTATGAAATATAAAAAGCTTTAGAAAAATGTGTTGCTCCCATCTCGTTTACGAAAATGTAGGTATCTCGTGCGAAACAGCAATAGATATAATTCCTACTACTTCGCTTATTATTATTTCTCTTTATATACCTAATGAATTTAAAAAAAAATTTTTGAACGTTAATATTACCATACTTATAAATTTGATATCCGTTCTGATTTAGATTTACAACGTGTAAATTTCTTTAGATTCTGCACAACAAGTTACAAGCACGATATTATGATAAAGCAATTTGTTTAATTTTCATCTATAACGTCAAAAAACCTGTGGCAACCAGCTACTGTAGAGATTTTCATCGATTGCCAATTGTCGATTTCGCGATAGAATCGCCGGCTGCGAAAGTATCGATAAATAAATTCTCGAGGCTTCGCGTACAAGTGTAAAGCCTCTGGGCGCCGAAAGTGGTACCAAGTCCATCGGTCTCGGCTCGTTTAGGCGTTCCTTTGACACGGTTTCCGTCGTCTTGTCGGCATGTTCGAACAGAGCGAGGCGAGCTTCGTCCCGGAGAACAGAGAAACTCAAAAATCAAAGATCCCGCGTGTCACGAATAAGTTTCCGCCCGAAAAAAGGATGTCGTTCGTTGCTCGGAAATAATAGATCCATTTCTCTCGTAAACATGAAGAACATTCGAGCGAAAATTTATTCGGACAAATCCGTTCGAACGATAGAAGCACCAAGCTCTGCAGAAGCAGCCCAAGAGCCCAAGAGCTCACGCTCGAAACCCTCGATCTTTGGTCTTATTAACCCTTACCACGTGGTGTGCAAAAAATTTAGTGCACGTATGGTCAGTGACCTAAAAAAAACCTCAGGTACTATTTTCGTGAAAATGAAAGCCTGACAATTGGTGGACCTTTGATGCAAAAAGCGAGGCAGTGCTATATTTTCGCCAAACACGCATACGTGAACGAAAATCTTTCTTTCGATCCCCCTCCAACGAATTCATACGGCAAAGGATTAATAGCGAACACCTCCGTGGACTGGTACCACCGATCCTCGTAGATCTTCACATGCAGCGACGCTGAACAACACGTTACGCGCGATGGCCGACGCTACAGAGACAGTTTAACGTTTAAAAAACGGTGCTAGGGCACGTAGAGCTCGCGTTTAAGCACGGCAGATTAATGAGTTACAACGCACGGCTTTGTTCCTCCTTTAATCGTTATCTTCGGTATCGTTTCACCGAAGAAAAGCCTTATCACATCAATGTACAACGACGACACTAGGGAAACCTGCTCCAACTCGTCGCTAGAGTCGGCGCAGCTTACCCATCCTCGCGTTTTCTCCCTTCGGACGCGTCTACTGTTCTCTAACTTCTAATTAGCAGCGAGTGTCCAATCCGACCCCGCTAAATCGCTCTCTGGCCTCTTTTTTTTTACCACCCCTAAGGCGTTCCTCGTTGCATTCTCGCTCGGTATAATTCTTACGGATCGCTCGAGTCTCGATTCCGTCTAATTAATTAAATACTGGCGCGCTAGAAGCGTTCAGTCTCAACGGTGAAACACAAAAACGGTGTTTCACGACGCTTCCGTTAAGTCGCGTCGCACACGTGACGCGTTCGTGAATCGACGCAAGCGTCCCCGTAATGGTTCTAGCGTTCGCAGAAAGAAGACGCAGCTTTTTAACCCTTTTGAAACTGAATTCTTTACACGATTCTCGATCGAGCACCGCTAATTGATTATCATTCTTTTTTTAAAGCAACTTCGAACGAATTGCAACTGTACAGTGTAAAAGGCAGAGTGTTTCTTGATCGGTGGTACGACTCGAAAAGACGCGAATTTGTACGAAAGAATAAAATGAAAACGTAGAGTGACTTTATTTTTTAATAAATCAAGAGTTCTTTTTGTTTTTGAGGGACGACTCCTAAAAAGTTTGGAAACCACTGCTGTAAACTACATAAGTAGAACGTTTTCTAGTCGTATCAAGCATTATATTTACACCTTGTAGTATAAGGTTTTCGAACCTTCCTCAATGCGTACAAAATTAAAAATTTTAGGTTTTATATGTCTAAAACTTTAGATTTTACATTTTATGTATAATGAGGAAGAAAACATTGTACCACGAGAACTGATTATATTTTCAGGCTGTACCACCAGTTCGGAGACGCTCTGTATATCGAGAATTCATTGCATAGTTTTATAAACATGCATGTATACGCAAAATTATTAACTTTAAAATATCATACACGTACATACGTGTTATCGTCACATCCGAAAGGGTTAATTTCTACTTTTGTTCGAGCTTCGTTCTGTTGTATAGAACACGTTCACTGTTGGTGATTTTTTGCTTATAATCTCTCGTAATTGGGCAGTCACACCACCTACTGTATAAACTTGAAAATCTGGTAGTACGAACAAAATAGGAACATAGACTTTTCACCTATACTCCGTAAATTTCAATAAAAACGATAGAAAAATTACGGAGATATTCTCTTAAAATGTGATCGAGAATTGAATTAAATATGGCTCTCGCGAAATGGGGGATGATACGAGGCATGTATTGTGTATCCCACACCGCAGTGAACGTGTTAATGAACGCGACATTACCTGGCATTTTCTTCAAACGAACGATACCTATGGCATAAAACACCGTTACAAAAATCGTACATGACCAGAGTATGTTACGACCATGGATGGGCATAAAGTACTCATTGTATGCATTCGGTGCTTAGCACACGTGAAAAACAACCCTACATATTGCATTTCGTGGGGGATTAATTACTGGCATCCGCTTTTATTTTGTATTCATTCATTAAATATTAAATACTACTGTAAATTGTATTCAACGCATTGAGAAATATCGAGTACGCTATTTTGTACTCGATATCCGATCAGTAAAGAATAGTTATATTCAGTTTCACTGGCGAATGAAAACTACATCATTGTCACCTTGGATCTATATGGTATTGATACAGCAAGTAGTTGCTTTTCAAATTTTTAATAAACACAAAAAATAAATAATATTCGAATTAAATTTGAAAATTGATAAAATTATAAACGTATATCGAATTGATGCAGACTTTGTAAGTTTATAAATTTATAAAAACTTTATATTATTATGAAGTTATTTATTTCTATAAAATATGAAGAGCAAAGATCGCACTAATACCATATACATACATATGACTACGATATACTTTCAATCGTTTGCACAATGAAACCAAATAAAATATTCTGCACCTATTAATCGATTGGATATAAAACGCTAATATATTCGACAATCATAAGATACCTGTGTATTCTATGTTTGACGATGGAGTTGAGTAGAAGTATTCTATGCTTGTTAACGAATAAAACGTGCGAATGCTTTTAAGCATCATACCATAAAACGGGACACGAATCAGTAAACTATTCGTCGTTCGAATATCTTTTTCAAATGTATTTTGCCCATCCCTGGTTACGACTATGACTGCATAAATGAGAAACCATAAATACCAGGTATCATTTACATCAACGCGTGTAAAATGGCGAGTAGAAGCAATCGAACATTCGTCAACGTACCAAAGCGAAGTTCGCGCGTCTTCTTCCTCAATTTACAAACGGATCTCGCATGTAGGGCTGGGACTATTCTATTTTACAATTATTGCAATAGTACAAATAAACTTCGAACATCGTTATTTGAATATTACTATTCCGACGATTGCCTAAACTGTTGGAGATTTTTCTTATTTTTTTCGTTGAATGATTTCGTTTCTACGGCTGGAAGTAACTACAAAATTCGAAGTTACTCCCAGCCAAGAAATGTAAGCACATTATCTTTTTTTCTTATCAAAATAGAAATGTTGTATAGAATACTGTGAATGAAATGTTTTAAATGAAAATGAAGTTTAAAAAGGAGCTTCGAACCTAAAGAACTTGACATATAGTCTGCATCGCGGTATTCGAGTACTTTACCAGTACAGGTAACATTCGAATAGTCAGATATTCAAATTAAGCGGATTCGTAAATATCCTTATACTATTTCGTATGTATCCACAAATTAAATACAGCTTTCTTCAATTATGTTTCATAAAGGGGTACATATGAATCTGTTTAACTTTGATTAATTTCTGTAACGAGTGTGTACAAATGTACTGTGGAGAAAAAGAAAGATCGGTTCTGGCAACAATTAATCGTATTGGATAAAAATGCCTCCCGATAAGCCTGCGATTAAACAAAAGACTACTCAACACTGTATACGTTCCCCTTACTAGTGATATCACATTATTCTTAACCTTTGATCCTTCTTCCTCTTTACAGTACATCATATACCTATTAATAATTAATAATTAGTTCGAATATTCGAATGCAGAAAAATTTCGTAGTCCCAGCCCCCGATCGCGTGTCGAGGGTCGCTTGCTTATTACCAAGAAATATCGAAAAAACGTCTATAAAGATTGTAATTACGATTATATTATAAACCTCGAACAATTCGCCGGCGAACAGGCTCACAAATAAACGCGCTCTACAAATTACAATGTTCTACGATCGATCGGTAAACAGAGGTCGCTCGATCGTTCGATTCCTTGACTATCGGGCGCGCGTGGTCTGTGGAACCAAGTTTACTTTCAGTCGTTCTCGTGATCTCGTCCAAGCTGGTCGGGTGTGACTTTGTGCGTGTCGAGTAAGATTTCGGCCTCTCGATAATCGCGATAAAAGCGAAACGAAGACAGGATGATCGCTCGCGGGTATGATAGCCGTCGAATTCCGGGGGCCCCGAGTGCCCGTAGACGTTTGGAAAAGAAACTGGTCTGAACGCGATTCACAGTCATAGAAAAATCGTGATATGTACGAGTCGTGGAAAGCTGTTGTGTATTGCTTCGATCGTCTAACAACGCGTACAATGGTGTTACACGAGTTTACGGAAGAGCTACCCTCTTTATCGTCCATATTCAGAGATGGGCAAAATTTCACTCGAACAGCGAAAATGTTATTCGATCATCGTGAAACGTTTCACACTACGGTTCGAATATATTAATTTTATTTAACGATTAACGGATAAACTTCTGTTCAAAATTTTTAGTCGGATTAAGAATTTTGCCCATATCTATCTGCAATGCAATCGGTTGCAAGCCGACGCCAGTTTCCGGTTTACAGGCGTGGCGTGAGAAGATCGCAAGTTTTCTCTCTCTCTCTCTCTCTCTCTCTCGTTATCGCGGACCGCATAATAACATAACGCGCACTATAACCGCACAAAGCTGTCCTCGGAGTAACATGAATAGCAACGAATCCCGCTAGTAACGAGTTAAATGATTAGGGTAGAAGTAGTTGGTAAGAACAGTGTTAATGAAACGTTTCTGCGCGCCCCTCGTCGATGTTGACATCAGAAGAAGCCAGGCGTCTTGTTAAATAGGTATGTGGGTGAATTTTTTTTTTTTTTTTTTTTTTTGGTTCGTGTCTGAATGTCACAAAGGCGCTAGCATTATTAGCTGCACATTGATAAACCACCTCCCTAGCAAATACAGCCACTCTCCCCCTCGGACTCGGAACCGTTCTGCATCGGTGATTGATTCTGCAAGTCGACAGCTGCTTTCGTGTGTTAAGGTGTTATCACAGTAATAATCGCGTTACAATCGTGTACAGTACAGTCAAGTCGTGTCTAGCATTTCCCTTATCCCTCGACGAAATAGTGTTTCCACGTTAATACCGCGATGGAACTTTGATGAACTTAGAAAATACACGATGCAAGAAAAGTTAGGCCTTCAGATTGATATTTTGAATTTCAATTATTATTCCTTGTATTCAGGCAGCATAACGAGCATGTGACCGTACGATCATGATGTTATTACAAATTGTTTGAAATACATACGATTCAGCTCTTAATGTTAATCATAAAATTAGTCCCATTAGATTCAAGTCAACAACCCTTTCTGTCCCAATGATTCAATATGGCGTCGCTAATATTGATATATCAAACCTTATAGTATCATGTATAAACTTCTTAATGATTCCATTTAAACTCATTATTGTTTCACGATTTATTTTGCTCTTACTTACATCGACATTAGTGAAATGATTTTACATTGCATCAGTAAATTTTAGCTATGAAGCCTAAATAAAACTGAAATGCAGCTAATTTAGTTTCTACATTCTGTTAATAATATTCACTTTTTGTAAAGTATAAAATACATTTTATATACAATATGTAATAAGTGTATATCTATATACAAGATGAGTTGTCTAAAACTGGAAGTTGAAATATTTTTGAAACTACTGGTTACATTGAAAAGTTTCGTTATTCGGCATATAGACGCGTAAATGACATTTAAAAGTCGAATTCGTTTTTTTAAATGGAATCATATATTTTTTGGTACACTAATCGGTTTAGCTTGTCATAAACAACGGAAAAAAGCCCCCAATCTATTAAAAATTCTAAATTTTTCTCATATTATTCATAAAGTTTTCCCAATGATGGCATATGGTATCATTCAATATTTGTACTTTTTAATTAGTCTTCAATAAATTTGCGTAAACGTATTTAATGATCCTATTACGATAATATTGTTAGGTAAAATATATATTTTTTTTATTAAAATAATTTATTCGGGACAGAAAAGGTTACGTATGCGGTACTCTCTTTTAAAAGCCAGAGTAGCTGTAATTAAAAAGCGTATAAAATTTAAATAGTTCAAAAATGGGACGGAGCATTCCCTAATATTAATTGTAGTGAAATTTACAGCCGCGAAGCACCTTAATTAAAAGTATACATCGAATGCCGTTTTTCGTACTCTTACGATACAAAGTTATTGTATATGTATAAATCCTACTTAGAATATTACATAGATAAAAATGAGTCTTACGACAAGCTTGAAACAAGGAAACGTACATAAGAAGGAAAAATGACAAGAAAAGTTGTGATTCGTAAGAAATTATTATAAAAGAAAAAAAAAATAATAATACTATTTGAGATTTTTTATATAAATTAAAATATTACAATAAATTATTAACAAAAATATTATAATATTAAGTATAATAGCATTCTGCCTATCCGTATCCCAATTTTAAGTTAATATGTACAAATCCAATTTTGTGTTTTCTTGCTAAGTACTTTCTCTATCTATACGTGTTATATATATACATATATATATATATATAAATTTTATGTATGCATATATATACATATATGTATATCTATATGTATGTAGAAGTCTAATTCAGTTCGAAATGTATAATACTTCAATGAGAAATGCAATTTGTTAATTTATGCAGTGGTATTCCAAAATGAGGAAAACCTTCGTGCGTGAGCAATGTATTCTTAAAAAAATATTCATAAAAAAATGAGATAACGTTAGTTGCTAGTTCTGCATCGTTGCAATTTTTTTTTTTTTTTTTTTTTGTATTCGTTTGTAGTACATACGGAACTACATACTGCATACGAATTTTCTTATCTACCGTATCGGTTCAAACTTAAATCGAATGGATGCATGAACTATACAAAACTTTTATTGCTGATAATTGCAATTGCACTTCGAATTAACGAACAATTGTACTCGACTAACTTTTTTTGACTGCATTTACGCAATACGTAATTTTACGACTTTGCTGTCACTTTAATTCTCATGTTACTGCGACTTATATATACATAACTATATAAGTGCACCATATCATGCAACTGTAACACTGATCATGCACACAACTGATATTTCGTTAAAGATCTTTTTTTCTCTTCAGAATGCAAACCACATGAAGATTCATTGCTTAACGTTAAACTTATGATAAGTACATACAGCAAACAAAATGTTGATTACAAAATTTATTTTTCAATTAAAAGAAGGAAAATATAAATCCGCTATCAATATATGATAATTATCAACCATTGACACGTTACAAAAAGCAAGCAGCTTTGATGAGGATTTCGAAAGTTCAAATAAATTAGATTACGTTGATGCTATGATGTTATAACACACACAAACACGTTATTGTGTAAAAGCAGTCCGCTTAAGCTACCGTGTGATACTTATAGTTTCATGAACAAACAGTTATAGCTGTTCAGTACAGTGCTATCAACTTTCCACATTTTAAATCGTGAAAATAACACAGACTGAATCTCACTGTCCTAGCGTTGAGAGTTTAATTTATTAATTTAACTTAAATCAGTGTCTCGTCTACCGTTAGGCTGATCGGTGGTTTAACATGCACAACTGCTCTCCGATGCTTTCAGTTCAATTGGTGTATCCTTGAGAACTACTTCTTGCACTACAGGTTTAGCAACATATTAAGGAAAACACAAAAAGAGAAAAGAAACAACTGAAATCGTTAATAATGTTAAATAATAATATTAAAAAATAATATATTCGAAATGATGTTTAAAAGATGGGCAATAGTGATGAAAGGCTTCGAAAAAAATACGTGAAAGTATATAAAAATTACATAACGTTATCGTGAAATTTATATTCGTCTTTTCTCTAATAAAGAATTTGGAACTTTAGTGATATAGCTCCTGTGAAATGCACAAAGTTTCCCGTGAGTGTCTAAAACTAGTAAATAAGGGGAGATTCTTCGTGAAAAAAATTAATAAATGGTACAGAAAAATATTTGTTGTTAAAAACAATTTTTAAAATTCGTCAAGGAAACGAAACTCGACTAAGCCTTGACTTAATGCATCTAAGTATAAGCTTTGATTACTGTTGCTTCTACTCCGCTGACTTGAAATCCCGCGGGACGGCACAGGGACAAGAGCAGTCGCCATTTTTCTATCTTGCTCCCTTGCTCTCAAACAGCCCACATATGTGTAATAGCGAACTAGAGTTCAATGTGTACGTACGTACATATAAGTACGTGTATCCCTTCTACTTTTCTCGCATTCCTGCCGTGGAACTTCAAGTCAGCGGTGAACTGTACTTACGTTTGTAAACATTAACAAAATCATCGAGGACTAGAACGTCTAACCTAAGAGCATCTCCTAACCTCTAAATAATTTTTCTTTTCTGAGACAAGATAATAGAGAAGATAAAAAGTACATTACGATTTTGCTAATGTTTATGAACACAAGAACAAAAGTGATACAAGAATTGGTCGAGTGCAAACTTATTTGACGAATTTTCAAACTTAGTATTTTCGAAAATGAAGCCTTTGTATACAAAAATTTTTTTGTATATTTTAGTTTCTAGTTTGTTATAAATAATCACCCCCTAAACACTAGCATAGCACATTTCGCGGGGTATCCTGTAAAAGTGATTGCAATAGAGTTAAATTTGATAACCCTAAAAATAAATACCGTTAATTTTGGAACCACATAACAAACGTCATTACAGTAAAAATTAAGGATATGGGATATGCTTCATATTGCTATGTTCGAAGAAAGAAAATTCCTGAAATACGATTATGTAACTGTGTCATGCAAGTGTGTACATTACGTATCTTACGGAAAGGATACTGTCTTCAGGAGGCTTATTCTCAGTGGAATCCATGCCTGGTAGAGCTGCTGCTACTCTTCTAAACAGCTGAAAAGTAAATAAAATCCATTTAATATTTTACAATGCTAGTCGATATAATAAAAGTTGGAATTATCGTAATATCGCGAAAACATACCTGTTTTACATTGTACCCAGCTTTAGCACTAGTTTCGATAAACATTACATTCAGTTCTTTAGCTTTTCGTTCGCCTTCTTCCGTTGAAACTTGTCTTTTTTCGCTCAAGTCTGTTTTATTACCAACTAGCATAATAATTACGTCGCTTCCTCTCTCGGCCCGTACATCGTCAATCCACTTAGACGTTTGATGAAATGAGTTAGCATCTGTACAAACAGTTCAACTTGAGGCAATGCATTAAAACTGAATAGAAAACTTCTACTATAAGCCCTACTTACTGGTAATATCATATACAACAACTGCAACAGTAGAATCTCTGATGTAACTTGGTATCAAAGACCTAAACCGTTCTTGGCCTGCAGTGTCCCACAACTGTAATCTTACAGTTCTATCCTCCAAATACATAGTTTTGCTTAAAAAATCTATACCTATTGTAGCCTGCAACAAATAACAATTACATCTTATTATTACTTTGTCACATTATGTGTGACATGTTATTTAAAATATTCAGCTCATTTGTTTAATACATCTTATCTAAAAAAGCATGCATTAACATGATTTGTGACAGACAGTTTTGTAACTAGTAGTTGAAGCATTAATTCTTATAGGTACATACATATTAAAAAAGAAAATTTTTTTTTATTAAACGATTGTACTGTTCACAAAATAATATAATAATAAAATTAGACCAATAAGTTGTGATAATCTCACAATTTTCTTTCTTTGAATCCATGTACAAGAAAAGTCAATATCTTGGTCTCCCTACTGTTCCTCCCACTAGCACTTGTCCCTGACATATGATATTGACTATTCTATAGAGTGAAAAACTATTTTACTTTGAACTGTCTTGTCAAACTCAGTTGATTTGTACAGAAAACAAGATGACTTTAAAAGCTTGTTATATTCTTATAAGGTAATTGGAAAGTATGTCACTAAAATACAGATGATCTCAGAAGCTTTGAGTGTAGGTTGTGTGATAGAGAGAACCATGGTGGTGGTGTAACAATAATTTTCAGAAGTTCCATGGAGTTGGTATAACAAAATTTATTGAAAAATGAAATATTTAAATTATATATTAAATATACATATAAATTAATGTATATTTACTTTCTGACAGATTAATTGCATTTTTATAACATTTTATATTTCTATACTTCTGCATTAATAATTAAAAATTACATTTAATATTTAATATTTCTTTTTTTCAATATCAAGAATTTAGCGTCTCTTGTATAATTGTATTAATAGATTGAAGTTTTAAAATGCCAAACACATTAACTATAATAACATATACACAAGCATTCAGTAAAATCTTATCAGTCCAACAATGATAAAATGTGTTTCTTTTAGGCTCGGGTTACACGACCGTCGAAACGGCGTGCGTTTCTATGTTCTTCCTTGTCTTGCAATTGAAAACAACGAAGACAGACAAGTGACCGGTGTTTCTATGACTATCCTCTGTTGTTTTCAGTCGTAAGACAAGAAAAAGACTTAAAGACGCACGTCGTTTCGACGCTTGTGGGACCCGGTCTTAAAAGTGATTATATATGCTTGCTGTTATCATAAGATAGTAAATAGTTGCGTGAATAAATTATAATATAAATATTGTCCTTCATTTAAATTATACAACATTTTACATAAATTGTAAACGTTTACAGAAGTAAAGGCACGCTTTTTTGGAATAAAATAGTTACGCAATTAAATTCGAAAGTACTAGAAAAAAATTAAATCATTAGCTTCATACCTGATACGTGTTGTCAAAGCTGTCATACATAAACCGCGTGATAAGAGACGTTTTTCCAACTGCAATATCAAATCACACGATTAATGCAAAATGTTGGTTGTGTCATTAAAATCTTTAAAAATTCAGAATGAAAAGCATCAAATTCTCTCGCAACAGAATAGGAACCTGTACGATGAATTTATAAAGCTATTGTTGCTTCTTAAACGAGGCACGGGGATCATTTGAACATATCCGCTATCGGCAAATTATACATTTTTTATACAGACGCGGTATTCTGATGCACTCTAAAATCTTTCCAAGGGAAACAAATACATCATATACCGTACGAAGTTAGGTGCATAAATTATGTATTTCGATATGAATTTTAATGGCCAACAGATATTTCCGTTAATATGTGCGAGAGGGAGACATTTTGTACGGCCTGATACACACAAGATTACAGCTATCATTAGAAATTGAATGCAACATCGAAAAGGTAACAACAAGAATGACGCCGAATTCGATCGCCGCGATTATGTTGCAAAGCGAATAGAAATATTGATTTATAACCTAGAACAGTTAGCGAGATTCAACAGAAATTCTCATTTGCGGCGTACAAAAAATCATCGGGAGAGAAAAATGGTCAGATGCATCAGCAATATTGATCGAAAATCAACGGAAGTATGCGCGGAAAATACTTACCGCTCTGTTCACCGAGAAAGACAAGCTTAAATTTACGCAACGGGTTTCCAAAATCACCCGAAGACGACATTTTCTTTGTATATTAGAACTACTGCACGATGAGGTATTAGTACTAAGCACACGGAAACAACTTAATCAATGCGACGAGTCATTAAGTTTCGCGAGAAATCATTTAACTTGACAGATCGCGAAGCCACTCCTTCCTTCAATCGTGGGGCAGCCACGTTTAACTGGGAAGTGACGTCATTGGTTAGTTGCTAATCTTGTTAGTTTTCAACCGTGTTCTTCTAGATGGCGCTCAAATGACCAAAAAGAGATAGGTTAAGAATTTTAAATTTGAGTACAAGTGTCATCCACTTTATGAAAAAAAGCTTTCAATAGTTTTCTGTGAACGTTGAAGTGTATAAACATGATATATTAGATATTCAAGGATTCACTGTATATTCAAATATACATAGCGCGGTACTTCAACTGTCTCACGAAAACGTAAGTAAATCTATTTAAATGTTCAAAAAACGAAATTCTGCATACAGTAATTCCGTGGTTGTAGTACGCAACGAATCATTGAAATATTAGGTTTGCAATGCTTTTTCAAATACTTGTACTTAAATTTAATTAAAAAAATTGGTGATAAGGGTAATTTTTTAATCTTCCGTATTTAATAAATATATTCAAATTTAGGTTAAATTATAGAATGTTTTATTAATAACTGCAGTAGTTGAAATCTGTACAATTTGTGCAGATATTAAAGCAATTAAGTATCTTTCCTTCAATAGCTTGTAAATATCTGTTTCCGAGATATTACGTATTTTCTTACATTACATCAGTACACATACAAATCGTCTTTTACTTTAAAAAAATACTTCTCAACATTGCTATCTTCGATTTTTACACTTATGTACATGTTACGTTCACCCGCGCACTCATACAGCATATACAAGTTAGATATATTTTATGTTTCTCTGATTCTTTTGGAGCATATTAATTACTGCTGATCTTCGACCACAATAGAGTTACTTAGAACATCGTAAAAGGTTCTGTTAAATCTTAAGAAAACTACACCAAAGTATAGCGGGAAGAAAAATGTTGACAACATGTGTTTCATTACTGATCGTTCGAGTGCGAGCAGTAAGCCTAAATCGGTTCCTGGCGATACAAGTACAACGTCAGAGTCATTAAGTCGATCTAGAGGCGTAACATTACGACACTGAACAACCCGTAATCCCATCATAAATTTTCCGGGCGTTGCGCCACCTATGCGGCCATTTACACCATACTGGAGCCAGAATGCCTAAAATATTTTTCAATTATAGTAATATTTGCATTGTTTCCAACAATAATGTCCTTACCTCAAGGATGCACACAATCACGCGATGTACCATTTTCAATACTAGCACTCCATATGTCATATCTAAAGTTATTTGATAATCAATTTGCAACTTTATTAGTAAATCGTCTATATCTCTGAAAGAAAAAGAAAATGCACGAACAGGTAAAAGAAAAGAGCAAACGGATTATTATAGTCTACTGATTTTACATACATTAAATCAAAAACATCAACTGCAATAAAAGCAATAAAAAGCTTCAAGAGAAACAACATTGTTAAATCTATAAATTCTGCAACAAATCGTTTCCATCTTGGTGCTATACGATATTCAAAACCTGAAAGAATTCTCTCCTCAAATTTCAATACATACAGTTACCCTTGTACCAAATGATAATGATGAAAAATGTACATTCCAAAAATACTGTATTCAGAAAACAATTGTTTAAGGGTATTTAACCGTTTTAGCGCCACGCAACGCGATCGCGCTATTCGCGTTCTGTGCTGAAACGCGCCGCGATGTTTGATCACGATCGTGATCGAAGCGTTATCGCGCTGCATGGCACAATCCGACACGGATTTTTAAAAACCCCTGACACTAAAACGGTTAAGGATGTATAATATTTCTATATTAAAAAAGTAATTGATAAAAAATGCAGTATTTTTGAATCAAAAGCACATATAGTACTAGCTGAACCTCTGTTGGAATGTGATGAACTCAGGAGTTATCGTTATGACCTTCTACCTTCAGCTCCAGGAGGTTGGAATGGAGGTCCTATAGGATCTTGCGTCCTTCTTTGTCTTAGTGGATCGTTCTGTTGATCATTTGTGCCAATTATTAATCTTTGTGTACTTGCTACGTTTGGTGTCTGGGACGTGAATGGTGGAATACCTATAATTATTCTATTTTATAGAATAATTTTGTTACAATTTAGAACACACTGTAAACAATGTATAAATTAGTTTTTATTACAATCATACCGGTTGCTGGATTTACTATTTGACCAGACATCAGATAGTAGGAGATCATTGTGGCCACACTTTGCCACGCATATGCTTCGTATAACCATTTTTCCAACTCCTTGAAATATTCTGAGCGTTCCTCTGCAGCTGTCATTTTTGACCGATCTTTATTTTCCCTGGATTTATCTTCTTTTGTGTCCTCATTTTTGTCATCTGCCATTTTACTGTTTTAGACAATTTTACGAATGTAAGTGTTGAGAGCTTTTCAATAGAAAACTTTTGCTTCATAAAAACATTTATTAAATGATTTGGTAACAAAACCGAGTAAAATCTACCTTTCAAACAATGAATTGTAAATAGTTTATTGCATTGTCAAGTGTAATGTATCATAATTATATTAAATGTTACTTTATTTACATCGAATTTATAAAACGATATTCGGATGTACTACTTTATTTGCATTCACTTTGGCATCCACTGTTAGAATAGTATCTTATACAATTTCGTTCCAAATTTCTCCCAACTTTGTTATGTAGCCCGAGCATACATACTGAACGGGCGTATATGTAATACACAAAAGAATTTTCAATAAACGTACCAATTTTCTTCAGCGTTTAAAACGTGAAACGAATTTAACCAGGAAAAATACCGACTACTTAATCGTGAACGTCGACTTGAAACGTAGTAAGTACAAGATTCATACGTAAACGAAAAATTACTGGTTACTGGCTGGACTTAGTGATTTATAACAAAAAACCCTACTACATGATCTACAGTACATTCTACACGATGATAAGTGGATCCAAATAAAACCATATGACCGTGGCAGGACCGTGTTGGTAAAGGCTATTCCACGAATACATAAAAATAGAGCAAAATTATAATTTAGCGGACTAAATTATGGAGGCTGGCTGATAGTGTCTATTAAACTTAGGTGTTCGTTAAATAATGTCTATACAAAACCTAAAATCTCTAAAAATAAATCTTTAATATATATTAAGCTTAAAAATCGTGTTACACGATTTTATTATTATTTTTTGCTGTTATGTTGGATCTATAGCATGCCTCTAGCTACAGTATCGTGTCGTCATAGCCGACCAATCAAATTTCGGTCACGTGATGGGTACTGTTTACATCGAACTTCAACGTCCAATAGAACGAATGTACTATAGCGTTTCCTAACCAAGAGGTGGCGTGCGGCAGTTCGCACTGCGGCGCTACCTTCTCAGGACATGACGTACTCGGGGCATTCGTGCAGTAATCACAGTCAGTGTACGTTTCTGACGACTCGCTCCTTTGTACTTTTCGCGTTTTCGAAATAAATAAGAGTAAAGCGGTGGGTGTCGTGAAGCAGGGTGTCATAGCAAGAACCGTGTGGGACTGTGGGCGTCACGAGTGACAGTTGGTCTAATTCTTGAATAGGGTGTGGGCCACAACGCCAGGAAACATTAGGTAAGATCTTATTACATCGTTCGTGCGACGTTTTCGTCGTTTGTGCTTCCGAGAGTGCGAACGAATTTCGAAAGGCCACGGCGCGGGTCCCGCGAAAGGCAGCATTCTTTTATTTTTTACGCGCGAAAATCATACGGTCACGATGTTTCCACGATCGCACGCGTCAATTCGATGGAATGTCGCGCTCGAATTCCGGGAATACGGGCGATGCGTTCCGCTCAAAAATCGAATCTCCCTCTTTCGCCGTCACTTGTAAACAATCGCCTAACACGGTACATGTTTCCAATCGCCGCGAATACACGCGTGACTGACAATCGGTTGTGTATTCGCCAACGGCGGAATCGCGAAATCGAAAGTCGAAGAAGCCCGAAGGAACCCTTCGTTGCGATTCTAAAATTTAGGTTAAGTATTTGTCAGCTTTCAAAACATCTTACTGCGTCAATGTACCGTCGTGTTACGAATACACGTTTGTTAAAACTTGTATGAAAATATGCAATGTAACTTCCACATAAGCCTTTTTATATACCTCTAAATATAATCGATCTGAGCAGCGCAATTAGAAAAAATAATTCATAATCCGCATGTCTTCGCGATACGTGTGTGTACTTCGTGGAAAGATAAAAAAAAGTCGTGTACGAGCGAGGTTAACGCGTATTCAATGTTTGACGAACGTGTGGCGATGCGTCACATTTTCGAGGGAAGTCGCTACTTCAACGAGATTCAGCCGGTGTTAAGGATCGTTCGGAATCAATCTCTTCGCCTAGCCAGAATGAATGCACAGGCACTGCCATTCGATCGATCCGTTTTTCGGTACCTAAATAATGTCTGTGAAAACTGTCCCACGTAAAAAGAAAAAAAGAAGCATAAAACGAACCGTGACGTGGAAATCGTTCGCACGGAAGGATGAATACGAATAAAAGCCTAGGCTTTTGGTCAAATCGCTAAAGGTGAATGGCCGCGATTGTACAGAGTCCCATTCACGCGTTAAAGGCGCCTGATACGTTTTCGGAACCGGTTGCACGAAATCCATGGGAAAATGGCCGAGCACTGTGGGAGCCAAGGTACGCGTATGTGCGTTAGTGCGTGCGTCTTACGTCGTTTTTCTCAGCCAGTTATTTCGTTACCTTAATTTGACGTGGTCGGACGCGGACGTAACAACAACGAATGCCGTTGCATACTGCGTCGCATACTAATTTCGCGGCAGCCGGGCGAATTAAATGCGCCTCTGTACGCGAAACGTTTCCGGTTCCGTCGCTCATCGATATTTCGATGGTCACATTGCGAAACTTTAGTGCGTCGGTCCCTTTGTTTCTACATTATTATCATCGGCAGTTTAAGTTATTGCACGGCGTGCCATCGAACAGAAATGTCTTTCCAAGTACTACGTTATCGATTTATTTCTTTTTATCCTTATCATCGATTAAACGGAAAATTGATTTAGGAATGCAATGAATTAAAGTATAAAGATCAATACGTCACAAGATAAGTTTCGTGTAGTATAAAACCTTCGCATATTCTTGTCAAGAAATATTTACAAAATATCGATCTTTTTTTTTTTGTTCGACGGTAACTGCATTTCCGTTTATTTTAACTGGTACAGGGGCGGAGGGGAGAGTGTAATAATGCAAATTGCCCTGACGACGTATCGTGCCGACACTGTTATCGAGATTACGCGCCTCCTAATCCCATTTGCGCGTCGAAACATAAACAGATACCGATTAGTTGCAAAACTGTACGCGATAACTTGAATTACGTCTTTGATCCGAAGATTCGCTTATTTAAACTCCGAAGATCAATGATTTACAATTTCTTATAACGAAACTTAATAAAGTCGTGTTCCAAACTTATTTTCGTCGGGAAATCATCACCAATCACGTCACACGGATACGCGTGCGGCATCCAAGCTCGACCAACCAGTTTTTAATTTCACAGCTGCCGATCGGTTCGCTCGAGTTTAAGAAATGTAAACAGTAATGGGGATGATTGCGTTTCTGTAATTCCACGGTAAAAAGTACTATCTTTAGGCGAGGAATTACCGTATCAAGTTGACGATAGCGTATGATATTATTAATATAAAATTCCAAATCTGAATTTACTTATAACCCCTACTACCATTATTCCGACTGAAAGTAAGACTATTTAAATAGTATGTGGGAGTTTTCCATAACGAACCGGTATTTTCTCACGGTCAACTCTATGTTGCCTTATCCCGTTCAAGAAAGTGTAACAACATTAAGGTCTCTGATACTCAGGAAAGACAGCAAGAAAACCTTTTAAACGATAATAGAATTTTTATTCAGAATGTAGTTTGTTAGTAGACAAATGTGTTTAAAGGGGGAATATACAGGGTGTTCGGCCATCCCTGGGAAAAATTTTAATGGGGGATTCTAGAGAAAATCAAGAATACCAATTTGTTGATGGAGGCTTCGGTACTGAATTTTTTTCTCGAAAATGAGTAAGATTTCGGGGGTACGTCTATTCACCAAGAATGATTATAATTGACCCCCGTAGCTAAAAATATTTTTTTTAGAACGATTTGAAATGCTTTAATTTTGTCGAAAAGTTTATCCCCTTATTGAATTTTTTTCTCGAAAATGGTTAGGATTTCGAGGATATGTCTATTCACCAAGAATAATTGTAATTGACTCCCGCAGCCAAAACTATTTTTTTTAGAACGATTTGAAACTTTTTTTTTCCGTCGAAAAATTTCACATCTTCTCGAATTTTTTTTCTAGAAAGTGATATTTTCGTCTTATTTTGGCCTCTAGAATCCTCCATTAAAATTTTCCCCAGCGGTGGCCGAACACCCTGTATTAGCATTTCGCAATATTTTGGAATTCTAATCGTTTACACGGGTCTTCCCATTGCATTTCGAATTTAATCGTATTCGTTACACAGACAGAAACGTCGAACGCGAGCAAAACTGCGCGTTCTCTGTCCGTGGTATCGGTAGTTATTTTCGATCATCGATTATTAATAATTGCCGGGGAGGATGAGTGACAGTTCTCGTTATATCTGCTCGATCGGATCGCGAATTAATATTTCCATCGTTCCGCCCAACTTGCAAACAGCCGCCGTGCTGTAGCGTCCAACAATTAATTACATGCATCTGTAATTTATTCCCGCCGATCATGGAATCGTTGCTACCGTAGGTGGTTTTAAACCGTGTTCCCGAATTTACGTTCTTCCATCGTAAATTCTCCCGGAATTACGTATTTTGCTTGGAAAATATACAGAGTAGGTTGCACGTACACCGCAAGTATACGTACATCCATCTGGTATAATATGAAACAACCATGTGAACCAAGAATGCAACGCCATTGCTAGACCGTCTACGTGCACAACAGAGAACAACGTCTCTTGTAAACTTTAGCACATCTTATGATTTACGCGCGCACGATATAGCTAATAACAGCATAAAGGAGTTTAGTTTATTCTATCATAACCGTTTACGGTTCTTTGCAGCATAGAGGCTCGCGATATAAGAATGTACATTGCGCAAGAATTATTGGACAAGAAAAATGTGCACGTAATATCTCACAATATAAGTCTGTATTAAATATTAAGGCCAAGACCATCAAATTACTTCTTTCCATAAAATAGATAGGTATAAAAAACAAACAGTTGCACTGTTGAAATTTTTTTATAATACCGTTCTTAGAGACATTTTTCTTATTCGCTCGTTCAACGAGAAAATTAAAAAAAATTTAGATTAACGCGAATGAATTAAATGCTTGGTAGAAAATGAATTTGGTAGTAATCAAGCGGAGTGATATTACGGTATAAATTACGGAACGTAATGATCAGCTGGACTACGCGACAGTTGAAGGTGATATACAGTAGTACCTGTTGTGTGGAGAAATACAAATCGATCGTATATGTACGTACACATGTGCACACTTTTCTGGTACGATAATTTCACATTGCTCGATACTCTTCTAAGATATTCCTTCGAAATGATATCCCACGTTCGTAACTCTGACTGTAAGTAGACATTCGTGACCGAGAGTAGAAAATCGTAGACGTCGTTCGGCTGCTCCAAAAACGGGAAAGTCGTGCGATCGAATAGTTTGTTCGTGATATTTTATCAGATTACAACAATCGAGCGAGGCATTTTAGCTTCTCGTATCCACGTTGGAGTCGGAGGCACGATCGACCGAAACGTAGGTTGCAAACAACACACCGGGTAGCCTCGCAATAATCGAAGAGGAAATTCTGATTCTCCGTTTAGCGTTCCCCCGTTGCGATCGCTTTCGAGTAACAAAAGGGGATCGGTTGTTTCCAACAGGAGTTCCAAGCGTTTACGTTCTTCGCTTTCAGCCGTCGAAGTTCCCGCCAATTTGAACGTCGACAGGCCCCGTTTTTCGTCGCAGACACAGAACGAATGGGCGGTTGCATTCGCGCACTTCCGGCGAAAACGTTAGCCGGCGATCAAGATTCGCGAACGAGGTTTCTCTTTGTTATGTTCGGTGCATCGCCCCGGTCGGAAGATTCGCTTATTGCACTTACGATTGTTACGACACGTGGAAGAAAAAGAGTTCTTACAGTCGGAACGTCAACAACACGGTTGAACTCGTTTCTAACAAGCACCGGGGGCCCAACATTTCCCCGTTACGACTCCTATCGTGATTCAAATCTATAATACAGTGGAACCTTAATTATTGCACGGGAGCCTCGTTCGTTGTGTGTACAGTGTCGACAAGCAGAGGGGATAGTTAAGAGTATAATTAATCCTTTCGATTTGCTGAAACTGTGGAAATCCAGTCGATTGTATTTCAACGAGAATAGAATAATGTTACGATAGAGACTAGAAAATTAACCGGTAGAGCTCGAAAATTAGTGTAGTAATTAAGGAACGCCGCAGGTGTATCGATTTACTTTATTTATGGAAATTAGTCACGTTTCGAAAAGAAGAAAGGATCGTAATGTGGAAGAACAAGCCTTATAGAAAATGAATATATTGTCCTAATTCTTGTTAGATTCGTGAAACATTGGAATGT